CATTATACATTTGACCAGAGACATTAGAGTTTTCCTGCTTGCAACTTCAATTTGGACAGGAGGTTTCATCTATCCTCTAGCTTCTTAACACTATGGAATATCATCATGGGGCCGGGGAGATGGCTCAGTGGAATAAGAGCTTCCCTGGCAAGTGCAAGGGCCTGAGTTCAATCCCCAATTCTACAAAAAAAAAAGGAATATCATCACAATGAGCATCTCACGTCCTTGTCTGATCATTCTAACATCCGTGTCAGTTCTAGATTAGTTTTAATCAATATCTCTCTTTGTTATGGGTCACATTTTCCCAATTCTTTACATACCTGATACCATTTATTAGATGCCAAGTGATGTGGATTTTATATCTTGGATGCTAAAGCATTAAAATAGTCCTTTATTTTTTTGGTTGTTTTGCTTTTTATTTTAAAGAGTAAAAACAAGTAGAAACAAAGACAAAAACAGAATAACAAGCAGAAGTACAAAAGGTACAGAGTTTCAAAACAAGAATAAAAATTTAATAATGTTGTCATGTTATATATATTCATCATCAAATCTGTTGTTCAGATTAATAGATACAGGTATGCAAAACTCCTTTTGATTGTATTGAAATGATTAATGTAAGGTATAAAAACTAAGTTTAGGTTTTTAGCTACACATAGATACATATGGTGGCTTTGACACTAGCTATAAATAATCTCATAAATACTATTAAAATATTGCGCTTTCATATATATATATATATATATATATATATATATATGAAGGTCGTGTTAGTAGTTCTATATTTTTTACTGTTTCAGTTGTAACGAAGAATTTTACCTATATGATTCTTCCATGGGGTATACTTGTAAAAGAATTAGTCCATGTTAATAGTGCCTGTGAAGTTATAATACTACACAATTAGGCAATTTCTAATGGCATTGAACCCGGAAGCTTTGTCACAGCTTAAAACTCTGAGTAACCAAGTTTAAAATAATCGATGAATTATAATTTTTGAAATATTTTTAAGTATTACATAGCTTCTCTTACGTGAGAAACCAAAAATGTGATTTATTGATTTATTTATAATAATTTTCTTTTATTTTGAAAAATAAAAACAAGAGCAAGGAAAACAAAAGCAAAGGCAGAAACAGGGTAACATATAACAACACATACATTACAGATTTTCAAAACTAGAATAGCTGATTAACAGTGATTGATATATTATCTACTTTTATCATCAAATCTGTTGTTCAGATTAACAGATATAGTTATGCAAGATGGGAGATGTAATTGAACATTACAACATGCTTTCAAGAAATCTTAAATTTTTGTTCTCTCATTTTTTATTACCTTTTAAAACAATTTACTTTAAAGAGAGTATATTACTAATTGATATGACATTAGAAATGGTACACATTTAGAAGACCAAAATCACAGTTATTTCAGTCATGACTCGACTTTACACATTGCTGTCCTCAATGTAGTTGCTTAGTTCACAGATATCAGCATAGAGAGTTAGTCATGGTGAGAATTCTACCCATTAATGGCTATTTTCAAAAACCTGATAGAAATTCTTAGGACAATTGCTTTATCCATCTTGTATATATACATGTATGGTTTTGTCCCTACCAGCATTGGTTAATCTGTAATTCTTGTTGATTTCCATTTAACTGTATTTGTTACTCCTTTCAGTTTTTATTTCTTCTTTTGAGTACTTATACTAGGGAGACAATACAGTATTTACACATGTGGTCTGGTTTAATTCACTTATGAGTATATTCTCAAGTTGTATCCATTTACTTATGAAGTCTTGGAGGTTGTTTTACTTTATAGCTGAGTAACACTCTATTGTATAAAAACACCACATCTCTTTCATCCATTCTTCAGGTGATGGGCATTTTGGCTGTTTCCAAGATTTGGCTATCACAAATCTTGCTGCTATAAACATGGGTGCACATATATCACTATGATATGATGTTTTCAGTTCTTTTGGGAAAATTCCCAGAAGGGGGATAGCTGGATTGAATGGGATTTCCACTCCTAATATTTTGAGGAGACTTCACACTGATTTCCATAATGGTTGCAACAATCTACATTCCCACCCGCAGTGGAGAAGGGTTCCTGTTCCCCCACAGCCTCTCCAATATTTTTTGTTGGTTGATTTCTTCATGATATCCATGCTTTCTGGGGTGAGATGGGATTTCATTGTTGTTTTAATTTGCATTTCTCGAGTGGCCAGTGATGAAGAGCATTTTTTCACTTATTTATTTGCCTTTGTATTTCTTCCTCTGAGAAGAGTGTAATCATCTTAGATGCCCATTTTTGGATTGGGTCTTTAAATTTTGGGGCCCTGATATTTTTTAGTTCTTTATAAATTCTAGAGAGAAGACTTTTGTCTGAGTGATTATTAAGATTTTTTTCCAAATTTGTGGGTTGTCTTTTCACTCTGTTGGTAATTTCATTTGATGTGCTGAAACTTCTCGGTAAGAGGAAGTCCTAGTTGTTAATTCTTTCAAGTATTTCCCATGCAGTTTGATTTTTGTTCATGAAATGTTTGTCTACCCCTATATCTTCAAGGTTTCCTCCTGCTTTTTCTTCCAGGAGATTTATTGTCTGTTTTAATGTTTAGATCTTTAATCCATTTTGACTTTAATTTAGTGCATGGTGATAAACCCGGGTCTAGTTTTAGTTTTCAGCTGTAGAGAGCCAGTTTTTCCAGCACCATTTGTTAAAGAGGCTAACTTTCTCCTAGCAAACACATTTGGCCCCTTTGTCAAATATAAGATGTGTGTTTGTAGTTGTATCTGAATCTTCTAATCTATTCCATGAATCCTCTGGATTATTTTTTGCCAGTACCATGCTGACTTTATCATAGTAGCTTTTTAGTATAATTTCAAGTCAGGGATTGTAATGCCTTGTGCCTTGCCTTTGTTGCCCAGGATTGCCTTTGCAATTCTAGGGTTTTTCTGGTTCCAAATAAATTTTAGGAATGATTTGTCTTGATCTTTGAGGTATGTTGCTGGTATTTTGATAGGGATTACATTTAATTTGAATAACAATTTTTGGAGTATGACATTTTTCACAATGTTGGCTCTTGCTATCCAGGAGCAAGGAATATCTTTCCATTTTCTGAAATCCTCTTCAATCTACTTTTTCAGAGTACTGTAATTTTCATTGAATAGATCAGTTACTCCTTTAGTTAGATTAATTCCTAAGTATTTAATTTTTCACAGTGCTATTGTAAAGGGTATTGTTTCTCTCAGTGTGGTTGTTACCTGTGTAAAGGAATGTGATTGACTTTTGGGTATTGACTTTGTAATCTGCTATGCTACTGAATTTGTGTATTAATTCTAGTATCTTCTTGGTGGAGTTTTTTGGGTCTCCCAAGTAGAGTATCATGTCATTTGCAAATAATGATAGTTTGACTTCTTCTTTACCTATTCTTATTCCTTTTATTTCTCTCTCTCTTGTCTAATGGCTGTAGCTAATGATTCCATAGCTAGATTGAATAGGAGTGGTGATGGAGGACATCCTTGTCTTGTATCAGATCTCAGAGTAAAAGATTTCAGTTTTTCTCCATTTAGAATTATGGTATCAGTAAGAATATCATAGATGGATTTTATCAGATTGAGGCAGAGGACATCTATTCCAATTTTCTGTAGGGCTTTGATCATAAGTTGAATGTTGGACTTTGTCAAAAGTCTTTTCTGCATCAATTGAGATGATCATGTGGTTTTTAGACTTGGATGTATTGGTATAGTGTACTACATTTATAGATTTGTGTATGTTGAACTATCCTTGCATTCCTGGGATGACTCCTACCTGGTTATGTTATGTGATCTTCTTAGTGATTTGCTGTATTCTATTTGCTAGAATTTTATTGAGGATTTTTGCATGTATTTTCACGAGGGAGATTGACCTGTAATTTTTCTTTTTTAATTGAATCTTTCTCTTCTTTTGGTATCAATGTAATACTTGCCTCCAGGAATGACTGACTGGAATTATTGCTTCCTTTTCAATTTCATTAAAGTGTTTGAGGAGTATTTGGATTATATCTTCTGTAAATTTCTTGTAGAATTTAGCTGTGAATCCATCAGGACGTGGACTTTTCTTTGTTGCTACATTTTTCATTACATTTTCAATTTCATTGGCTGTTATTGAGTTATTGAGAGTTGTTATATCTTCTTGATTCAGTTTTGGTAATTTGTAGCTTTCTAGAAATCTGCTCATTTCTTCTGTGTCTTTGATTCTGTAAGAGTACAAGATGTTCAAAGTAGCTATTGGTTATCTCCTGAATTTTTACAGAATCTGTGGTAATTTCGCCCTTTTCATTCCTTATTGTTTGAATTTGAGTTTTTTTCCTTCCTCTTTTGATGACGTTAACTAGGGGCTTATCAATTTTATTTAATCTGACAAAGAACCAGCTTTTTTAGCCATATATTGCAGGGTTCCACACCAAGCCTGCCACTGGAGGAGGTTCCACTTCCTGCCTATCTGGTGCGGTGCCCTGTCTATCTGGTGGGAAGGTTCTGAAGGGTGGCTACAATATTCTTTTTATTTTTATTTTATTTATTTATTTATTTATTTATTTGCAGTACTGGGGATTGAAATCAGGAGGATCCTGCACTTGCCAGGCAAGCGCTTATTCTACTGAGCTATCTCCCTGGCCCCTACAATATTTAAATTTTTTTTTCTTATTTATTTATTTATTTAGTACAGAATCTTGCTATGCAGCTCAGACTCATAGTGATCCTCCTGTCTCAGCTCCCCAGTGCTGGGATTACAGGCATGAGCCACCATTCCCAGTTCCAACGTCATTTAGTTTCAAGAGAAGTTAGCTCCTCATTTTATTCAGTCCCTATTTTACTTTTTGTATCAATAAGCAGTTTTCTGCAAGCTCCCAGGGGGGAAAAAGTCCTTGGGATTTCTTTATTTGTTTGCACTTGACATGTATGGTCTGATCCCTGACCTGTTGTTAGCATGTTTGCACCTTCTAATCACAGCTGTCTCTTTTCCCACAGGCACCAGAGTGGACAGAGCCAACAGCTGTCAGTCTGACAGCAGCGGGTTTTTGGAGGAGCCAATGGAACCTCTGCCCCTCCAGGTACAAGGGGTTGGAACAGGGCCCTGATTCCTCACCCCACATGCTCCATTTCAACCCTGGAGCCACTCTCCCAACCTAATTCCCAGTAAACTCTAAGTTCTTGCCACAACAGAAAGGATTTGAAGTTCTGCCCTCTACAGCAGGGAGGTAAGGATGGAATCACAGAAGCCAAGGTGCCAAAACTGGCAACCATCCTTTCCTTTTCACTTTCCTTGACTTTTCTAATCAAGGACAGTGAGCCTCATGGAGAAGAGTTGCTAGATGAGGAAGTAAACTGATACAGAAACTTGAAACTTGAGCTGTAACCTTGATCTCCTGACTACTGAATTAATGGTGATATCTTTTGCCTTATACTTATTGCCACCTCCACTTCCTGACTCATGTTCTTCTGTCCTGGTTTCTCCTACAGATGCCTTCCTTGCCAAGCTGCCAGAGTCCCACTGAGGATGGAGCTAGAAAGCCCTGGGATCAGTGTCACAGCTCAGTGTCACCCAAGGACTGTCAGCAACAGTCCAAAAGCTTTGATTCCAAGAGCCTGATGAGCTTGTCGTTTTCAAGCCAAGACTGGAGTGTCTTGGAAGAAAAGGCCTCAGCATCTGTGGTGAAGGAAGAACCTCAGCATGAGGCCATAGAGGAGGCTCAAGAGCTGCTGATCTCTGAGATGGCCCTTGCCAAGACCACCACTTGGAGAGAACACCCATGGGAAGACAACCATCTGCAGCAGCCCCCACCAATGCACCAGGCTAAACATGAGGGGACTGGATCCATACCCATTTCCACACTTGATGACCCTCTGGGGTGTATGGTGGCACACATCATAGAAGAGAAGAAAAGATCTCCGTGGCCTGAGGGAGCTGGAGAAGTGCTCATGCAAAATCACCATTGTGAGTCTCATAAGTCATCTGGAATTGATCACACTCAGGACAGTTTCCCTCAAAGGGGCTCTGATGCACCAGGAGCAGAAGAAAGCAGCAAACTCAGTCCTGACATCAGCAACATCCTCCTGGAACAAGAGAGGCCACCACAGCACATTCTCAGGAGTGAGAATGGAGTCACTCCTTATAGAGCTGACCTTGTTGAAGAACCAGATAAATCCACTTCTCACCTCAATAAACTGCTTGGAAATGCTCCTATGGACTCAAGTGCTGGCCGCTCAAGGTCTGTGACAACCCAGATGTCCTCCAGTCTGATGTCAGGTGCTCAGAGTGTTGTGGCCTTGGGCATGGATTACAGAAAAACAGATATAGAATGCGTTCCATGTGACCCTATGACAATGACAAAACTGAGGCAGATCACAGAAGCAAGACAGATCAGTGACGTTTCTGTTCAGACTTACACATGTGAATCTGAGCCCTGCTATTGCTGTATTTTCCCGAGCAATGAAGCCTCCTCTCATGAACCTCAGGCCCTCACCACATCAGCCTCTCTGGACACAAGTTCCCCTAGTGTAGACCCAATGGGCACTTCCCCCACCACAACCACTCACCACTGTGTCTGCTGCCATCACCATTTCCACAGCTGTGAGGAAAGGCCAAGCATTGGTCCTACTACTTCTGTCAGCAGACACTGGCTGTGTTCACATGCAGAGCACCTGGAAGCCAAGTTCATGAAGACCTTGCGAGTTCTTCAGGACACAATTGTGAGGGAACTGTGTTCTGTAAGTGTTTTCCTCTGCAAAGACAGGCAGATGTCCCAATGATAGTGTCATCGCCTCAGGGATGATGCCTGGCCTTCCTTTCTGAATGTGAGATCTCAGATTATAAAATACCTTCCAGTTTAAGTCATGAGAAACATGCAAAGAATGCTTTATGCTGTAGCCTCCTAACTTTCTTATTTTATTCTTCAATCACCTTTTGAAGCAAGGAACACAATTTTTATTATTATTTTATAGAAGGGAAAACTAAGACATGAAACAATATATTCATATGTGCAATGTTATAAATATGAATGCATCTGTCTCCTCTCCTATTCAGTCCAGCTGAGAAGTTCTAGGTCTTAAATTCATTTCACTGTGTAAACTTGCATGGGACACTTAATCTCTCTGAGCCTATAAAACAGGGGCATGATCCATGACACAGACCTAGTACTGCCATAAGATTCAACAAAATAAAAATTGTAAAGCATTCAGCACATTCAGATACAGTACTTAGCACATGATCTGGGGCAAAGAAAGCATTAGATGATATCCATTAACAGTGTTACTTTTACTGTCAATTTTTATTACTATTTTATCATGGCTCAGGTCTTGAATCTAGAGCTTCTCATGCCAAATACAGGGACTTCTGCTGTGCCTTTGTCAAGCTTGTTTAAGGTGAACGTAAGAGTTACAGAGAACTGAAGATCCTCCACTTTCTTTAGCCCTTGACTAGTCAGCAAGCATTTATTTTTTAAAATAATTTTATTGAGAAACAAATAGCAATGAGACAGTTTCAAAACCGATTACTAGCACAGTTTTAATAGTTAATACATTGCATATTGTTGTTGTCTTAGTGGTTCTTCACTGTACAAGAAGCAGACATGATATCCTGTCCACAAACACTATTAGAACAAATCTCTCTATTCATTGAATTAAGAGAATGAAGCTGTATATCTATCTTAACTCTTTTGAGTATACAGATACAAAATGGTCTTTCATTTGTATCCCCTTTTTTGGAAAGTTTTGTCAGCAAGGGCATTCCATTGTCATTCAAATATTATAGGTGTGTGAATTCAGCAAAATACGCCAATATAGTCTAGTAGTCCATAATAGTAGTGGGTTTTCCATAAGACTGGCAGTATCAGAAGTTGTTGACTTGAGCCTTTTACAGCTCAGCATATTAATGTCTTTACTTTTATACTTTGGTTTTATACTTTTCTGCTGGATGGTTAAGACCAAGATAAATATTTAACAAGCTTGTCTAGCACCTCTCTTCAGCAGTTCTTGAGGTGAGAAAGAGGTTTTCAAGGCTAAATTGGAGACTATCACAACTGAAAATACTGAAAGGGGATGGGATTGGATCATGTAGGATTGTACCTTTTCAAAGACAGTGAAGAGGAGCTATGATTTACTGAATGAATACAGTTTAGTACACTTCGTGCCTGCGTCTTATTCTTTAATTTCATAAATGTATATTGAGAGCTTATGCTAATCATTTTTATGTTTTGCTATTTAAAGTTTAATTTTGTGCATGCCATAAAATTCTTAAATTATGCCAGTTCTTCCTTTCTTACTGAATTCCAAAAATGTGCCAATTCTTCCTTTCTTTGTAGATGAGAAAACTAGTACTGAGAGAATTTAGTTATTTTTTCCAACACCTTTCAGCTACTAATTTCAAATTTAAATTCAGATGTGGGAGACACCAGATTCATAGACATACCACTCTAAGCAAAGATGTGCCCAACTTAAAATGTGTAAATTTACATAAAAGTAATATTAGAATTAGAAAATTACTTTTTGAAAGTAACTCACTACATGATCCTTCAAAATACAGAAATCTGTGCAAATGTAATATAAACAATGAGTGATTACATTAAAGGTCAAATAATTTATAACCAATGTATTTTATACTCAGTAACATCCAGTCAGTTAAAATCATCACATTATCGTTTTTCTTTTTCTTTTCTTTTTTTATTTTGGTTGGTTGAATTGGGTATTGAACTCAGGCACTTATGCTTGCCAGGGAAGCGCTTATTCTACTGAGCCATCTCCCCGGCCCAAAATCATCCTATTTTCAAACTGCAAGACTACTAGCCATTTGGAATATTTATAAATGATCCAGAATCATTTTTGTAATAGTAAGATAAGGCTTCACGTAGGTATGGAGCTTGATCAATTCTAAGCATATTATTCAAAAGTTCAGTAGTGAAAAGAACACAGGCCAACGTGTAGGTGGAATCCCCTGGAGCATGGACGGTAGTAAGATTGACACTTCCAGTGTTAATGATAGTTAACTGATATCACCTCAAGCTTTCCCTGTGCCAGACCAGGTGTGAACTACTGTACTTGACTGCTCTGAAAGCTTCAAAGTTTTTATTTTATTAAATCTCAAGTTTCGAATTTTGTAGATCGCTATCACACTCATCATCGTCATGTAGGTAGAAGGTCTTGTACTCTCAGTGCCAGGTGACATTTAGCAATGTTGATGGCATTTTTAGTTGTCACAGCTGGAAGGAGTTGGGTGCTACCTGACATAAGGGGAGAGAGATCCGGGTTGCTGCTAACTGTCCTTTAGTGCACAGGATAGCCCTCAACAAAGACCTGTTTGGTCCCAAGTGTTAATGGTGCTAAGGTTGAAAACCTCAGCTCTAAGGGAAGAGCTACTTACATTACTCACTTATTTTGCATGGAAAACTGTTAGAAATGAATGATAACTAGTGAAGGTGACATTTGGAAAGCCTAAACAGGAAAACAATTAAGTCTTAAAATTAAGTACTCCTGTTTCTATGATGAAAACCAAGTATTTGGTCCAATGTATGAATGTACATTTTGAGAGATTATTTTTGTAATTTATATCTTAAGATAAGCTTTACAATGACACATGAATTAAATCATTTTATTTAAAAATAACAAACAATATATAATCAAAACTGTTAAAACTTCTAGAAGAAATGGTTCTTCTAGACATACCAATGTCATTCTGCAGATATTTAACTCACAAAGATTAGTATCTGCTTTCTGTTCACATCATCCATAATAAAAATCCTGTATTGGATTAAGAAGAGAAAAAATGAACATACCAATAGACTGAAAAGCTACAAGTTTATTGCTTCAAATCGTCTTTGGTAAATTATTAGCACTTAATTCACATTTTGTATTATAACCAGATATTTATGACAACAAATGTATATTAATAGTCAGACTCATTCACTGAGTGATCTGAGCAAAAGTTAAGGTAACAAGAAAGACCTACAGTTTTGTAAAGAAGAAGAAAGGGTAACAGCCTCCTATGGCACAAAGGGAAAACATGTGCTACTCAAGGTTGTCCTTTGGTATGGTTGGGTGCCTCTGACAAGTCAACACAGGCAAAGGGAGCTCCAGGGCAAGACCAGGGGCTGGATGTCTACTGCACTGGGCAAGCTATGGCATCCAGGAAAAAGGGCTGATTAACTAGTACAGCCTAGTCAGACTGTTGCTATCAAAAGCTAGGTGTTATATTGGATATTGTGGTGTCCATGACTTTTGGAGGAGCATGGTTTTGAGGAATGAACAAGCAAGTAAGCATCTGGGAGCAGATGAACAGGTAAGAGGTTAGGAGGATTGCAGCTTCTAGCAGGAAGCTAAACTGGGAGGAATAAGAGACATCCCTGGGCAAGGTCAGACACAGGAACCCAGAGCCAGGTATAAGGTAAGGACCTGGCTTAGAATAAAGGCAGAAGACTAAACATCGGCTAGCTGCAGGGGTGACCCTGACTGTGGACTTGGGGTCTTTTCATTCTGCCTATTTCATGGAGAGAGAAGAAAGAGCTTCATGAAAGGCAATGGATCTGGATAGTCCCAGTTGTGTGAAAGGATCTGACTTCCTGAATTAGATTTCCCTTCTGATTTAACATCATGACACACCTGCACTTATGCAGAAAATAGAGGCATGAGGTGCATTATGTGCAGCATCCATCTTCAGACTCACTTGTATGTTTTATTTTATCTTGTTTTATTATCATTTATGCATTTGGTACAGGGTCTCACTACACAGCTGGGACTTGTAGTGATCCTTTTGTTTTTAGCCTTCCCAACACTGGGATTACAGGCATGCACCACCATGCCAGATGCGGTTGCCAGCTCTACACACCCTGGGGGCTGGGCCGGCTGGGCATGCAGGACCAGGAATTGAACTCTAGTCTCTGTGTTTGCTAAAGCAGACACTTTGTCCACTGAGCTGTCACTTGTAGGTTTTAAATACATAGGTACTTGAATAATTGTAAGTGCCACCATCCTATGGACACTGATGCCTTGTCTCATAGTTCTTCGGCCTTCTTGTCTCTTAGAATTTGCAATTGTATAAAAAGATAATTCTGGGGCCAGGGAGATGGCTCAGTAGAATAAGGGCTTGCCAAGCAAGTGCAAGGGCCTGAGTTCAATCCCTGGTTCTGCAAAATAAAAATAAAAATAAAAAACATAAAAAGAGACAATTCTACATCCAGTTAATTTGTCACTACACACTTGCTGAGAAGGATATTCTATCAAGTTTTACTAAATGATAATGATTTTCTCTTTATCTCTACTCAAGGAACTAGAAAGATACATTCAAAAGAGACAACCAGAACGCCCACACATATACACATGCATATTTGTACTTGCTCACAGGCATAAACACAGGCACAGACACCACATATTTAGAAAGCCAAGTGGAGATAAGCGACTTTGTTCTTCCTTAAGCAGCGGCTACTCAAAGAATAGAGTATAAAAAGCTGCGCAGGTAGAAACATCTCCTGGGAGTGATCCTGGAATTATAAAGCATGAAAAATATTCTGAAGAAGTGACTTCAAGTTAAATGCTATGTGCTAGCTAGGTGTGATAAAAAATGTTTTATGAAAGAAAAATAGAAAATAGGCCTTGAGTTATAGGCCAACATCTATAATATCCTATGTATGATCCGGAATTCCAAGCAGAGTTTAGATAAAGGACTTGACTGAGTAAAACCTCTCCACCTCACTCGCTTGCCCAGTGGCAGCTCTACACAGAAATGCAGCACTGTGTTTTTAGTTTTAACATCATCTAAGATGATGGCTTCTTGGTATGATTTGGTTCTTACATGTTAGTGAATCCTTCATGGTAATTTGTTAATTCAAAAATTGACTTGCTGACATAATTGAATTTATGTATGTGTGAATTCTTAAGAATTATTTATTAATTCAAAAAGGGGTACTCCACAACCAAAATCTTTCCAGAAAAGAAAATAAGATATATCAGAAATAAGACTTCTGAATAGTAGAAAATTCTATAATGTTGATGATTTGGGTATAAAGATAAAGCAAAATATGCACATTTTAAAAGTAATATCATCTAACTCACAAATGAAAGTTCAGGGTCATTTTGTACCAGTTCTCCTGATGTTGAAGATGAAATTTGTTGTAATAGGTCTGGATAATAGTAGAATAGTCCTTGAATCATATTTGGTTTAACTCTGCCTTTATATTAGGAGAAACAAAAAGTTTAATATACATTCCTTCCCCCACTTCCTCCTTGTATAAAGTGTGCTTTATTCTAAACTTTCCTGTTTTAGGGCTAAAATATATTTTTGAGTGTTTCCAGGTGACCAGAAGATGGCATTATTTCAGAATCTTCCACACCACTCCCTTTTGAGAGCATGGCCCCCCACCAGCTATTCTCAGTTCCAACCCCTACCCTGCAGCCTGCGCCCACAAAGGGACACACAGGAAGGTCCAGATGGAGCATAAATCCCAATTTTTTATGCTATTCAGCCTACTTGAGGTGGGACCACACTCTTACTGCAGTTTTTTAAAATCCATTTTAGTAAGAAAATAGGAATGAAACAGTTTCAAAACAGATTAGTATGACAGTTACAATAATTAATACATTGCATATTGTTGTCTTCCCAGTAGTTATTCAGAAGACAAAATGCAAACATGATATCTTGTCTAAACAATATTAGTACAAACCTTTCTTCTCAGTGAACTAAGAAAAAGTAGCTGTTGTTTGTCCTATCTTGTATATACATATATATTTTTCACAAACACACACACACACACACACACACACACACAATGGTCCTTTATTTATATCCCCTTTTTTTTGTTTTGTTTTGTCAGAGATGGGTGTGCCACTGCAGTTAGAGCAGCTGTATTTGGAGAAGTCTTTAAAGGACCTTTTCATACTTGATGCCAGACCAAAGATTGTAGGTACTTCAATTCAGCAAAATAACCCAATATAGTCCAATAGTCCATAATAGTAGTGGGCTATCAGCACAACTGGCGATTGTCTGAAGTTGTTGACATGGGCCTTTTATAGCTCAGCATATTGATACAGCTTTCCTTTTATACCTTGTGATACTTTTCTGCTGCATGATTAAGACCAAGTTAAAGCAAGACCTATATAACTAAAAATATAACTTTTGCTATCTGACAAGGTCAGTCAAATCCTCTCAGGATTTACCCTGGAACCATGTACAGCACCTTGTGGGTCTTTTATCAGTGTTCTCACTGCAAGTTTAAAGTAAATTTGGACCAGCTGGCTAATCTTGGGATCAATTTGAGTGACTTAATCTGCTCCCTCCTAAGGGATGGATAACTTCTCTATGTGTCCAGTTCTCCTGTAATCTCTGCTATGACTCAGTTAGATGTTGAGAGGAAAAGACATAAATCAGGGAGTTGGGTGGAATATGAGTACCAATTTTGGCCACAGAGCATGTAGTTAATGATTTTCAGGTAAAACACTTATTTATGAAAGGAGCTCTCATGGTCTCCAAGATCTTTTCTAGTTATCTTTCAAGTACTTTTGCTAACATGGATGATGTTTTAGACTACTTGATTCAGATTCATTTACATGGAGTCTAAAAGTAATTAGAGTTTTATAATGTAAAATGCATAATCAAAATAAAATCAAACTTAATTCGCAAAGCAAAACAATTTTATTATTCAAGTTGTCACTCCTACGAAAGTACTTGCATGATGAAAATTCTACTAAAGATAGCCATCAGACTTCCAGGGTCTTGCCTTGTAGTTCTGTCAGAAAGGTAAAAAATTTGGCATTTCCTAGAAACAGGGCTGGAGAAATTAGCCTAACGGTAGGTTCCCTCTCTACAGAAGAAGGTTAAGGGGCTCTACCAACCTTTAAAGGGCTTCTCCAGAGCCCCACACCATGCTCTCTGCTTCCATTCTTTTGGCTACCCTATCTACAAAGGAAGCTTGGAAATAGCATTTTTTAGGTGTAGAATTATGTTAAAAGGAGGAAAAGGGAGAAAGATAGCAGATAGGCAACTAGAAGCTTCTGCCACATGGATCCGTGAGCAGGGCTGATAAAGGTTGTTTACAGTACAATTATCACAAAGGCAGTAGACAGAGACCCTTGTTTTCTGGGCCTGGGGTCTATTTAAAGCACGACTGAACATAGGCTGCAAATCAAGGGGAGAGCTGGTAGACTCAGCAAGTCATCAGGGTGCTCCCCAAGTGGACTGGGCTTGGATATGAAAAAGCCAGATCAAGAGGGGAAAAAAAGCCTCTCTTTGGTAACTGCTGAGAGTAGAATGAGCTGGACATTAAAAAAGAAAATGAGTGAAGGAAAGAACCGAGCAGGGGCTCTGTAGACTCAGCGAAGTGAAAAACCACAGGAAGGCTGGTCCGTGTAAATGCAGTTAGACCACTTGTGTGTATGAGCTGACAGGTATCGAGGTGCAGGTTCTGTCCTCTTTTGGAGACTGGGAGACAGCCCTTCATCATCCAGATGAGAACATTTCAAAAGAATGATTTTCAGGTCTCTGAAAAAGATACATCTGAGTTTTAAGAGATACATCTAAGCCCCCTTCAGTAAATGCTATGAAAGGTGAGGGGTCTATACCAGGTTTTGATTAGAGCAAACAGTTAATTTGCCTGGTAGCCTAGTGTTTTCACAGATGGGCCCAGCACTGGGATTACAGGGATTACAGGCATGCTCCATTATGCCTGGTTTTATGGTGGGAACAGTGAGCCTGGGATTCTGGGGCCAGCATGGCAGGCAGTACCAGGGATCGAACTCAGGACATTGTGATTGCCAGGCATGTGCTTAGACCACCAAACTATCTCTCCACTCCTTAGATGGGCATTTTAATTGGGGACAGGGGAAAGGAGAGATCTCATGTAAGAGGTCTTGTCTTGTGCTACCAGAAGCCATGGTGGAGTTCAGTCAAGTATTTTAGTGTAACTTGGAGTTATGTGCATAGAATTTCACATTTCACAGGGCTGAACAATATGGTTCAATTAGGAAACTGAGGCAAAAGCAGTCCTAGAGATATTTATGATAGAAAGGATGACACATCATGAGCAGTGTGGAGCAGGACAAAGGTTAGAAGGAGCTCAACTCTAAATTTTAATTCCTGGAGAGGATAGGATGCCTCATTCGGCCTGTCTTGCTCCTTGTGGACTGATTAGTCTGGTGGGGCTGATCCTACATATTTCAGTCTACAGGCACTGTCACTGTGTGTGGCTAAGACTGGTATCAAATATTCTGGCAGATATTCTTTAATCAAACACATACCAGCAGAACAGATGTGTTCAATGTTCTTGGTACTTGGCACCAAAGTTAAAGGCAATTAAGCAAGGCTCAAAAGTTCTAAGCGCCCGCCCTCTCTCTGGCCCTGCCTTTTACTTTCTTTGGTTCATGTCCTTGAATTCTTATAGCACAAGACCTTGTGCTTCCAAAGACACCGTGAGTTCTGCCCAAGCACCCCCCCAACTACTGCCACCCTCCTGTCTCAGCCAAGTGCTGCCTCTAACTGCTTCCAGGAGCTGAAGGCCCTCCTGAGTGGGAAGACATATCCCCTCCCCACAGAGAGCTGTCCCAGCGAGTCAGGAAGGACCCCTTCTCAATTCCTTCTCCTTGTTCTCAATGTACCATCCAGGAGATCGAAGCCATGAAGACGATATGCCAGAGTTTCCGGGAGCATCTAGAGGAAATTGAACAGCACCTTGTGTGCCAGCAAGCACTCCTTTGCAAGGACATGTCAGAGGAGGAAAGGTAATTGTCTAAAAGAGCCGGAACTCAAAGTGCCAGCTTAGACACCTGGAGCAAGGGAAGGCAATCAGGGCAGGACAGAACCAACGAGCACCCTGCCTCAGAGCTAATGAGAAATCGGCCAGTGTTCACTTTGCTTCCGTGATCTTGCTTTTGCTTTCTCGGTGGAAGCCTGTGAGAACCATTCTCCAGAGAAGAACACTTATTCTTTAGGCCAGGGCAATTTGAGAAGGTCAAGGGGGCAATCAACTGGGAGGAGTGAGGATGCCAGCAGGATGTCTTTAATCAATGAGGATGGGGCTCTCAGGAAAGCACAAAGCCTGGAAATTATTAGAATTTAGAAAATCCACATTATTTTTAAATGTATTGTTTAAAAGTTCCCAAAATGGATGCATCTTCTCTGCCTGAGGACCACAGGGTGGCAATAGGGTATCATTGTAAAGACCAAGAAGATTCCTACTAGGGAGTTGGACATGTTCTACAACTGTTGTTGGTGATAGTTTATACAGCTTGATAAATTGGTTATAAATCACTGAATTGTATCTTAAGCCAGGAAAACTTCATGCTAAGTAGATTATACATCAAGAAAGTGGTTTTTGAAAAGATAAAAGCACATAGAGATTGTAGCTCAGTGGTTGAGAATGCATCTAACATGCTGGAACCCTGACTTCATCCTCAGTCTTGCAGGAAAAAGGGCAACATGGCCTAGTAAGATGCTTATGCCTACAGCTTAATCAAATAAAAAACGTGGCATGCCCTTTTAGGAAATTTCAATAACAAGACCTACATGACATCCCTCCTTTCCCCTGTCCCCAATTAAAGTGTCCATCTGAGAATGGAAAACTGCACCTGGAAGAACTGTTCAATTTGGTTGTTTCCTATTGTTTCCCTGCAGGGAGGAGGCTGACCAACTTCAGACTTTACGTGAGGCCCTGAGGCAGCAGGTGGCTGAGCTGGAGTCTCATTTAGGACACCGGGCCCAGCAAATCAGAGAAGGGATCCTCTTGGTATGGCACAGGTGTAGATGGGACTTTATCTAGCCAGCCATGGGAGGGGGCATCCAGTGAGAAGCATGACTGTGCAGTCACTTCAGACTCTGGGGCGATGTGTAGGACATGTACCTTGCCTTCTCAGGCCCACAGATAGCTGGTGGTGAGTCAGCGGTGGAACTCAGTTCACCTAACCTAGGCTAAATCTCACCCTGGTGCTGTATATAAAAGACAAGTTTTTTTATTGCCCGTTTTCTAACAAAAAGCATGAGCTTGGTGAAGCTTGGGTTTTGAGTCAATATAAATTAAGTCGCTACTATAATCTGCTGGAAACAACCTATTCTAGAGAATTCACATCTCATGAATATCTTTCTCCCTAGTCTGAGTTATGCACTGGGTGCAAGTGCGATGTGTCACCTTCTGTGTTTGTCCTCTTTTTCCTTTCAGCATCCGGAGCTCCTCACAGGGGAGGCATATGAACACTGCACAAGTCTGCACCAACACAACTGGAGAGAGGAGAATGATGGCCAGACTTCAGAGGCCGGGACTCAGCCAACCATTGCCCCTGAGCCTACCTTTCCTTCCAGTGGTGGCCACCAGGCTCCCTGTGCAGGCCCAACACAGGTGGCTGCCCTTGATACACCTGATTTGGAGACCAGCACCAGTACGTCTCCCTTATCAGCAACTTGGGCAGAATCAGGCCCAGCCTGTCCAGCTTGTTCTGCTGGGGAAAGGGGTACAATGTCCTGGTCTGGATCAGAGCTCATTTGATGATCTTTGTACAAAATGGAAGAGACAGAGCAGTGGTAGCAAAGAAATCTAGATTTTCCCTCCACGGATGTCTACCAACCTTTCAGCAGCTATGTTTTTCATAATCCACTCTTTGGTTAAAGTAGGGGGAATTGAGAATATTTGACTATTCATTCACTATAGAACAACTAAACTTCTAGTTCATAACCTGACATGGGATGGAGAAAGATATACAGATTCTGTGTTGCTAGAGATTGGTGGATGACAGAACATAAACACATACATGTGCTTATCATTAAAACTAGGAAAATGCTTTGAAGATAATAACCAGGTTTCATGAGCGGCAACAGAGTTGGGTGTCCGATTCTGATCTGGTGTCAGAAGGGTCTAATTGGGGAAGTGACAAAAGATCCAGGCTTTGGAGGTCCCAGACTGTCTAAACCTGAGTCAGTTGGCCTGAGAAAGTGCTGACGAAGCACCTGCTCAGTTCTGAGGATTCCACCTGGACTGTAGGCAGCAAAGGGCAAGACAGAAGAGTACCTATTCACTGAGATTTGGGTGGATAGTGAGAGAAAAAATAATAAGATAATTTCTGTACCTACAGTGCGGTGGAGAAGTCAGGGTGCTAGTATCACAGATGTGACAGGGAGTGACAGGGAGACTTCCGTGGGTGGCCCAGGAAAGTTCTTGCTAAAAGGAAGCCGTTGGAGAAAGCCCAGAGCAGTGGCCACTTTTGATCACCTATATTCTTTTATGGATATATGAATTTTACCGAACACATTGTGTTATTTTCCTCTTTGCTGGGACAAATACCAGACACCCACAATTTAAGGAAGAGAGGTTACTTTGGCTCACAGTTTGTAGAGGTTTTGGAAGTCTGCTGTCTCCGAAGCATAATATAATGGCAGAGAAAATCTACTCACTTCATGGTGCCCGCGAAGTAGAGAGAACAACTGGAGGAGCTAGGAAAAGAAATACAGGTCACGCCCACAGCATTGCACCTCTTCCAGCCTAACCCCACCTGCTAAGGGCAATTCAGCTGCAACTTCCTGTCATCTCCCAAAGGTGTCTATGGTCACGAGAGGCTTTAGGGGGACATCTGGATCTAAAACACACATTGTTTTGTTAGCAATACTTGTAAATAAAATAAAATTATATCCTATTTCTTATTACGTACTGCCATATTTTCCCCAAACTATTAAAAACGGTTGAATCTTATAAACTTTGTCTTGCTTTAAATGATACACTAATATTGATGCAGGGTGGGGTTTAGAGAAACATGACTAGTATGGTGAGGAAGAGCTATGAAAGAGACTGACCTACAAAGGCTTTCACCACACCCTACAACACATTGATAATAAGGAAGCAAGTGAGCACTGGTGTCCAATCCAGGTTTGGGGCTTAAACCCAGATCTACTAATCATCTGTGTTAAGTGGACTATTTAAAGTCCCTAAGCCTTCTTCCTACCCTGGTCAGCAAAGTAACGCTGCTGATCCAGTTGCCCTGCTTTTCTTGTCCATTCTATAATGCCTTTACTTACCTGTCTGCCTTTTCTGCTCCAGTGGAGGATACAGTTAGATAGACCAAGAATAGACTAACTCACTTGTTCTTTTATTACTACACATACATATTTTTGCATTTTATCATTTAAAACAATTCCTTAATCCTCAATGAATCAAAAAGTGTACATGCCTTCTATCATTTTGCTGAGACTGTCTCATTTCAAGAGTGTTTGTCATTACTTAATAGACTATCACTGTAAGACATGCTTTATAGTCTTTTTCATAGTTGGTACATCTGGATCATGCAGTTTGCATTGGTTGATTGCATTTTCTTTTGCTGGGTATTAACATTTTCTTGGTTATTCATGTGTCAAATATTTAGGATTATGTTCTGGACATTTTCACACTATGCTATGAGACATTGGGTTCTTTTGAACACTTTCTGGAGACTATTAACGTTTGTTCGCTTGCTTGCTTGTTTTAGTAGTTAGCTTTGTACTTGGTCCAGTTAGCTTTGGACTCTAGTCTTAACTCATCTGCAGGTTATACTTCCAGAGTCAATGTGGCACTCTACTTTTCTGTGCAATCAGTCTTACCCAGTTGAAGTACCATCTAAGGGTCAATCTGTGACCTCAGTTATAGCCCACACTGCAGTTCAGCTTTCAGAGCTTTGGTGGTATTGTTTCTGATCAATGATTTGTGTATACCAAAGATTTGGGAATGGACCAAAGATTTTATACATGGATTTAAAGGATTTCTTTCTCCAGATACCTCCAGTCTATGACTCTTCCCTGCTTGTACTCTGTCTCTGTTGGGTTTTCCTTCCTGGTTCTAGTTAGAAAAGTATGGTTTCAGCATCCTTGTACCGTTATGAATCTCTGCATCTGGGTCTACTTCAAGGCAAAGTGAAAATAGAACTCAGTTTGAGGAGGCTTTCCTGCTGTAACATAATCTCAACTCCACCTCCATGGCTGCAGCTATTATCACTGTGCAGGAAGTCACTTCATTGTTGGGACATTCTTGAGAAGGTGTTCGGAGGCACAGAGGATCTCTCCAGCTGCTTCTACTTGTGCCTGTTACGTGGTTTCTAACTTCAGGCTGCCTCATGTGTTAGGGCATATTCACAACGCGCAGCACCCTGCCCAGCTCACGTCCTGCTGGGTAGCTTAATGAGAATCTGTCTCAAATTTTTTAAAAAATAAAAAGGGCTGGGAACATAACTCAGTGCAGACATCCTGAGTTCAATCCTCAGCACTACCAAAACAAAGCAATATAAAATAAAAAGCTGCCCCAGACAGGAAGGGAAAAAATGGAAGAAATGCATTTCCATAGGTGTTTTTCCTGTGGTTCCCCACTTGCTCTATTAGTTACTTTAAAAGTCCACAGGTGGTTGCTTCATATGTTCTGTTCAAGTGTTACAGTTGTAGTCAATGCAAAAATTGGACAACATGTACTTATTCCTCCAAACAAGAACTGAAATAAAGAAATTATTTTATTGTTTGGAAACAATTGTTTCCAACTGTTTCTTATGGTTAAAAAAAAGTTAGTATTTGTTTATCATGTAGTAGATGCTATGCTAAACATTTAATATGGAGGGCTGGCCAGCTAGCTCAGCGGACTAAAGTGCCTACTTAGGCAGAATGCAGCGGCTGGGGTTCAATCCCTGGCATGCCATGTGGCCCTACCCCCGGGGTGCACTGAGATGGTGAATGAGACTGGGCGTGGGGGCACGTACCTGTAATCTCAGCACTGGGAGGGTGAGAACAGAGAATCACTATGCATCAGA